CGGGACTTTGGCACCACGGGGCAGTTCTGGGGTGGTTTTCACCCCGCTTCTGGAAACGAGCGCAGGACTCGCCCTCTCGTTTGCGGTGCAGGTCCCCGGTGACCCCCGGCCGGGTGAAGGGGACCCCCGGGGCAGCGGCACCGCAGCCCCACAGCCACGCCGGGCATTGTTGCGGCGGGGCGGCGCTNTGTACGGGCTGGGCTTCCCGGACAGCTCCGGCACATGGCCGAGGCTTCGGGCTGGGCTTCCCGCAGAGCCCCGGCTGGGTGGGCACCTCAAGGGCTGAGTGGCTCCGGGGCTTCATCCGGCCTGCATGAGGGGAGCCTGTGAGCATCCCGAGACGGTCCCAGAGAAACTTCAGAGACCTCCAGGGTCTCACCCAAGGGCTCTGCCCAGGAAAGGCATCAACCCTCAAACGCCACCAGCCTCCGCGTGTCTGTCCGTGTTGAACACCATGACACACCTGAGTTTTGTCCAGTTTGGACCACGCACCATGGGCCTGGGGATGTGGGGGCACCGGTCCACCAGCCTCCACCAACAACCAGAGCTGGTTTGGAACCTGCAGTGTGTCATCTGCTTCTCTGAGCAACCGCGGCGGGGAGAAATCAGGGACTGTCCAAGAGGTGGCACTGCATGGACTGGATTGGGTCACAGCACGAGGAGACCCCCGAGACCGGGGATGTTTGGTTATGGGGAGCAGGGTGCCTCCGCTCTGAGGCTGCAGTGATGCGGGACGCTGAAGGGAGAAGAAGTGAATTGCCAGATGCAGAGGTCAAATGACAGCAGTGTAACAGGGAAGTGGAAAAGCATGCATCTTCCCTGGAAAGCAGTGATAGACTCCAAGCCAAGCAGACCCTAGATACCGTCTCAAAAGCTGAACATGCAAACAAGCCACTAGACAATCCTCTGGAAATCAGAAATAGCTCAGAATGATTTCCAATAGGGATTGTTTCCTCTTTCTTCTGCGACTACACTACCATAGTTGCCTGCCTCAATGCATTTAGGGAACACTTTTGGAAATGCAAAATTTTTTTCCAGCTTTGTGAAACTCCCAAACATCCACTCTGGGTAGTGACACTCCTGATCCCACCTCACCACAGAGTATGCCAGGATGATGTGGCTCCTTGTGCTCTGTCATGTGAATGATGCTCGGAGCTGATTTACACATAGCAGTGCAATACTGATCTCAGGCGTAATAATAGAAAAGCTGATGTGGGATTCAGCTGGTAAAGAATTAAAGGATGGGAATATAATTAATGCAATCAGCCTAGTTTCCAGAAAATAGCTCTTGTCAAACTCTGATGTCATCCTTTGAAGAGATTACAAGTTTGGCTGATAAAGGTTATGGCATAGAAATAATAGACCTGGGCTCTGTTCAGGCATGTGACTTAATCCATATACTATTCTGATTAAAAATTAGCACAATACAACATCAAGAGGGACACCTTAAAGGGGCTGGGAGCTGGCAAACCGACAGCCATCAATGGGGAATCCCTGCAGAATGGGAGTGCGCTCAGTGGGTGTCCAGGCTTGGATGGGAAGCCCAGTGCTATTCAGTATTTCCATCAATGGTCTAGAAATAGATTAAAAAGCCCTGCTGAGAAAAACGCCGGGGTGAGGGAAATGAGAGGGGCAGGAGACATGGATGAGGTCAAGACAGCTGTAGAAAACTTCACAAGCTGAGTCCCTGGCAAATAAAACGTGCTTGAATGCGAGCAGCTGTGAAAGGGTCTGTCCACTGAACACAGGGCCCTTCTGCGGGAAACCCGGCATCTGGCAAGGACAGATCAGGGGGAGTTTAGGAGGCAGGAGGGATAATGTGGGAGCAGCAGGGTCCCCACAGGGGATGTCCAGCTGGGACAGGGCTGGGTGCTACAGCACAAGGGTTCCAGCATCTGTGTTTTGGAAAGGATGCTGAGGGATTGGGAGAAGGTGGAGGAGAGTTAAAAGTGAGCCCTGCTTTGCAGGGGGAGAGCTGAGGCCCACAGCTTCCCCAGCAAGTTTAAAGGAGCCCCAGAGATGCCTCCATTAAAGCACTGCAGCCACTTCATGGGTGAGAGATGATCAGGTGTTAGAGAGCTTGTCATCTCCCAGAAAAAAGGCACAGCAAGATTCACGGCTTGAACTGAGTTTGTCTGAGAAGCCACAGCAAGATTTCTCCGTGGCAAGGGAGAGCCCGAGGTGGTGAGTTTGTGTGCAGCAGGATGCAGGTGGTTGAAGTGCTAGGGCTTTATGTGCCCTCCCTCATGCTGCCATCCTTCCCTGACCTCCTTGGGTTGGACTGGACCTGGGGAGCTGGGAGAAACGCTGGGGGCTCATCTTGCTCCCACCAGCTCCTGCTGGCACATTCCCCCAGCTCAGGGGACACAGCCTGGAGTGAGGACCAGCCCCCATCCCACCCCCAGGAGCACAGAGAGGCAGGGGCCTCCAGACAGCCAGCATGTCCCTTCCAGCAGGGCAGGATCATTCTGTGCATGCTCCCAGGGACAGCAAAAGGCAGCCCGGCAGCTGCCCCTGCCCAGGCCAGAGGAAGCAAATTCTCACAGGTCGATCCCCAGCCCTCATGGTGTCTCATTATTTTCTGGTCCTCTAGCAGGGCTGCTTGGGGCTGAGAGAGCCATGAGCTCCCCCTGGAGCCCCTTCCCTGTCTTCTACCCCTCAGGTGGCTCATGACGATCAGACTTATCCCTGCACTCTACCAGGGGCCAAAATCACTTACTCCCAGATTTATCTGAGGGCATCAAACAGGTGCTAAACCACACTGAGCATTCCTGCCTGTGTGCTGGAGGAATCGGACTGCAAGGTCTTTGAGGCCAATGAACCAAACCAGGTTATTTTCCCTTCTTCATCAGCTGATTGTGAAGCTATGCCTTTTACCCCAAATATCACCCTTACACCAGAACTGCCACCACCGAGATGGCAGTGGTGTTTTTTTGGTGCACTCCTGGGGTCACCCTGCCACTGAGGCTGGCCTCGTGTGAACCTGGGGTGCTGGACACTTCCCAGCTCCCAATGCACACATTCCTTTCTGCCTGCAAGAAACAAAAAGCAAAGACTGGAGAAAAGGAACTGCTTTCAGCCTTTGGTCTGAAGAGTCTGTGCTGCATGCAGGCAGCAGTGGTGCAGTGAAATTCCAGAGCCTCCTTGCAAAGGGATGTGTTCTGTAGCACCTTCTGCTCCCACCAAGGTAGCTTGGGACGCACAAACTCTCCAGCAACCCATCTGCAGAGCCTGAGACAGCTTGGATCAGCTTCAGCACTGACTAGAGTCCTCCCGAATGAATTCTCCTCTTTGTAGCGACTCCCTGTCTCCCGCAGAGCAGGCGGTGTGAGGGGTGATGGCTGGTGGGCTGTCAGCACGCAGCGCTCCCTTCCAGAGGCAGGGATGTGCCTGGGTGGGAGCCGGCATCCCTCCGGCAAGGCGGATTCGGGAGGCAGCGCACTAGATGGTGCTGTTCAACCTTTGGCTGCCATTTAAAAGGCTCCTGCAAGGTCATAAGCGATGCCGAAATACGGTGGTTTTATTCGAAAACCTTTTTGGAACTAGGGGATAAGTCAAAATACTCTGAAATATGAGGTCCTACACTGATCGCTGTCAGAGGCAAAGGGCAGCTCGCTCACAGGGATGTGCTGCTCACACCTCGGGCCTGCAGCACCCTCAGTGCTCAGGCAGGACCTGGGGTTTGACTACATGATCAATGATGGCCAAAGAAAATAATGATTTAAAGAAAAAAATGATGCTAAGAAAATAATGTCCTGGGGTGCAAGAGGGGGCTGACAGCTCTCTCTTGGGCCGCTGGCAAGGTGGTGCTTACAGAAGAGGAGGAAGGAAATGTATTAGCATCCAAGATAAAAATATTGGTGTTGTGGCACCAGGAGCCCAGAACATCCCAAAGAGCCCGGCTGGGATGAAGCACCAGCAGCCCAGTGGCACTGAGGGGTTGAGCAAGCAGAGCCACAGGGTAGGGCTGGTAGGAGAACAAAGCAGAGAAGTGGTCGTGGATAGGGGCTGGGGGCAGGATGAGAGCACCTCCCTCACTGGGAGGGATGGATGGAGCAGATCTCAGTGTGGGCAGTGAGGATGCCCATAGACAGCTGTTCCAGGGCTGGGGGCAAGAGTGGGAGTGAGTGATGCTGATTTCAACCACCACAGCATCCCTTCTTGCAGGGTCTGAAGGTATCTGCCCACCCTGGCCATGTCAGCCTGCCAAAGCATGCAGGTCCCACAGGGTGTACCTCCTTTGGATTCCCCAGCCCAAGGAAACAAACACACTGCTTCTAATGCTGGGTAAAAAGGATGAAGCACTGTTTGGACACCAAGTTTATGACTTTTCACTCAGATCCTGCTCTTTCATAAAGCCCATGATGAAGCCTGTTTGAGACAGTGGGAAGGCTGCAGGGCCTGGCTGCTCTGGGCAGATCCTTCCCCTCCAGAAAATCATCCCAGTTTCGCTGTTCACTCCTGTTCCCACATGGGTGCTTGCTTGCAAATCCCCTGTTTATGCTGGGGTACAGGCCTGGAGCGGGTAGATGGGACAAAAGCTTTACTGCTCACATCAAGAATAACAAAAACTGTATCCAGGCTGTAGCCAGGAAGGTAGGGGAAGGAGCTAAGGCAGCTGTCTGAACCGGGTTTTGCAGCTGCCAGTGTTTTCCCATGGTGGTGCAGATGCCCAAATGGCAGATGGAAGCCCCAGTACATAACCTTGAGCCCCTGCAGTGTCCCAGCACCCTGGCCTGTTCTCCCAGGGCTTTGTTCTGCCTTCATCTCCAGGTGTTTCCCTTTGTGCCTGTCCTGGCATCAGCCTCTTTCCCCCAGCTCTACTTTGCCCTTCCCACTGGATTACAGAGCCCCCAAACCTGGTGTTTCCACAAAAAAGATCATGGACAAGATCATGCTGTGCCTTGGGAGGCTGCTCTAGATGTGCTGCTTAACCAGCACCCTCCTCACAGAGGAGCTTGACATGGACTTTTATTTGTCTTCCCACACTTCTGTGACCTCACTACCACCAGCCCTCAGATCACTCCAGCTCCATTCTGGCTGTCAGCCACCTCTAGCCTCATGTTTTGGGCTCAGGACTGAAGTTTTGGTCAAAGCTTTCCCCGTCCTCCTCCTTCTCCTCCTTTCCAACCAGCCCAGGGAGAGTCACAGCAGCCCATGGCCACTCTCCTCTGCCTGGTTTGCACATTCATAGTCCCAGTAACAGCCAGTGACCATATCAGCTAATGTTCCTCTGCCCTGGCTGGGCAAAGCCCAGTTCGTTCACATGGGCTTTTCTTCTCACTCCTGTCCCACCCCAGATAAGCCCTGGGCTCCTGTCCCAGCTCAGGGCTGTGGCATAGAAGTGTATGAACTGATAGGGGTGCCAGGCCCTTGGTGGGTCCCCCAGCCCTCCCCACCTGGCCTCTGCTGCTTTTGGGGAAAGGTTCCCATATCTGGCAGAGCAAAGAGACCCTCATGGACCCCTGTTAGATCTGAGATCCTGCCACATCCAGGACTCTGACAGATCCCTGCCACATCCCTACAGCTGTCCTGGTTTTGATCAACCTTCTCTACCAAAAGCACTGGCACAGGAGCTCAGCCAGCAGCACCAATGGCCAGTGCTCCTCATCCCCAGCCAGTGAAGGTGAGCACCCCCCAGGGACACCCCACACACCTTCCTGCACCCACCTTTGGGGTCCAGCCCGGGCCTGTGCCCTGCACTCCTGCCTCTCCATGCTCCAGAACACCAGGCTCGCTGCTCCTCTCGGGGTGCCAGGGGTGGGATGCCGTCCACATGCATCCCAGAAGTGCCGCTCTGCAGAGAGAAGAGATGTCAGCTCATCCCTGCTGGGGCCACCTATGCAGGAGATGTTTCCAGGGGAGCTGGGCTAGGCAGGGACAGCCTGTGCTCCCCACTCACAGGAGTGGAACCTGTTCCCATGGTCCTGAAGGACACACTTCACATCTTGCCTCTCTGTGAGAGGAAGATGTCTTGAGCACAGGGCCCCTGGAGTGGTTGTCCCTGCTGAAATGGTCCCAGAGGGTTACAGAGCTGAGGCAGAAGGGAGCAGCAGTGCCAGGGGACAGCCCTGTCCCTGGTTCCCAAGCCCCACTGCAGAGCCAGGGCCCACCCACCTGCCCAGGCCATTGCTCACCCTCTGCTCCAGTGTCCCCACGGTGGGATGGGATGAGAACACGAGGAACAGCTGCATGGAAACAGCTGGCTCCTGCAGCAGGGTTATCCCAGAGCAGCCTGTGATAATTCAACCTGCTTGATTCTGCCAGGAAAGAATCACTTTCCTGGATTTCCTTTACGCAGCCATCAGTGACTGATCTGGGCTGCTGGAAGGTGGGGGAAGGCTGGTCAGTGCAGAAATAGTGGCTGCTCTGCCCTCACAGACCTGTTTTGTGATGTTGGGAAAGATCTTCTGGCTTAGCTGTGATCACCAGCTCGGCTGGCAAGAGCCACCTGAGTGCTCGGTGGTGCCTCTGTGTGTCCTGCAGCCCAAGATTTCCAGTGTGACCCTTTGGATACGATCTCCATCAGCAGGGCAGCTCAGAGAGCTGCTCCCCACACTCCTGCCTCACTCCTCTTGGAGGGTCAGCTCTCCCAGGGAGCTGGCAAAATTTTTGTGACTATGTTTTGGCTAATTTTCCATCTCAGGTGACCAGGCAGTGGCCAGTTGGACACACGTTGTTGTTTCTCTGTTCTCTCCTGGGACGACTCCTGCTGACAATGCCTCTGCTTTGAGGAGGCTCTCCCCAGAGATGAGGCAGATGGTCAGGGAGCTCTCTGTCCCACAATTTTGGTTTGTTGTGAGTCCACCTAGTGGCCCACGGATTTATGGTCGGCTTTGCTGGGTGTAGAGAGGCTTGTGAGGACATCTCAGAAACACTCATGCATCCAGGGCAAACTCTAGAAATCATTTTACCTCTGCACTGTATCTGACAGGTACAGTTTAGGTCCCAACTCACCGCTGCCCTTCACCAGGAGAGCTCTGAGCCCCTCAAGTGACAACAGCAGCTGAGGTTGTGGCTGCTTTGCTGAGGTCCAAGGCCCAGCCAGCCCTGGGCAAAGGGTCCCTGTGACCCAGTGACCATCAGGCACTGCTGAGGGAAGCCCCACAGCATTTCTGCCCCTCAATTTTCCTGCAGAATGGTTTTCTCAGCCTTGAGCTCCTCAGACAGGGCATCAGTTGCTACAAACGCTCCTGTGAGTGATGCCACACCCTGGGGAATGTTGGCTCTGGGTGCCCAGGCAGCCCAGCAGCCAGAATCTAATTGCCACTGGCAGCTAATTGCCAGCAGTGGGCTCCTGGTGGCTGCCCGTGTCAGGCAGGACAGCTGTGCTGGCAGGAGGTCACAGCCAGACCCTCGCTGGGCCCTTCTGTGGCACAACACACTGTGTGTGCTGCAGGACCAGGTGTATTCCAGGCCAGGGGGACTGACCAGCCCCAGCTGGGGGACCCCCAGTCCTGGCAGAACACTTGTGGGGACCTCTGCTCTTTCAGCTCTCTGGCAGGACAGCCAGAGACCCTCTGGGATCTCTGTTACCCACATGGAGACTCCAGCCTCCATCCCCCCTTTCCAGCCTCCTGCTTCCCAGCAGCACCTTCAAAATCCCCAGCTGCAGGTGGGGTTGCCCTCCCTGGCCATCTTCCCTCTGAGGTGGCCCTTCCTCGGAGCAACCATCCGCAGCAAGGGCCACCCCTCCTGGCTGAGCTGGGGGACAGGACCCCCACACTGGTGTGTCCCCAGCACCCAGTGAAGGTGGCCAGGGCTCAGCACAGGCAGGAGCTCCTCCACCCCCAGTGACCTGCCCGAGGGTCACCAGAGGTTTCTCTGGAGGGTTCCTGTGAGTGGGACAGTGCCAGGAAAAGCTCAGCACTGATGGACACCAGCTGAGGTCCTGACCAGCCAAAATGCTGGACACAGCCCAGTAGTGCCTGGGGCTGACCTGCTTCCTCCTGCAGGGAACAGTCCTGGCTGATGAGCTGGGGGTGCCATTTATCCACACACTCAGGGGAGAGTCTCCAGACTCTTCTGCTGCTTTATCTGCCCTGGCACAAGCCCAGCCCAGGAGGTCATCTTGGCATTGACTCGTCTCAAGGCTTTCCAGCATGAGGTGAACAGATATGGGAAGTGTTGGTCTTTTCCTGGCAGGAAACTGGAAGAATTGCTCACAAAATCATTTACTGTGGGATAAATATCAGAGAATTGGGATGTCTCTGTATTTGGAGGGATCCAAGACTTGCTCCACAGTGAAGGCAAACCAGCACAGGATGTCAGCCATGGGATTGCCTTCTCCTTCTGCCAGCACCTCTAGGCCTGTCACCCATGCTCACCACTTGGCAACTCTCTGCCTTGCTGCCTCTCTCCTAAAATCTCCCCTTCCTGTGCCAGGCAGGTGAGACACATCAGAGCCAAGTCCTCTCCAGGACAGAATGTCTGAGAGCAGGGGGAGTCATGGAATTGTGCTGATGAGCATCCCATGGCATCCCACTTCCCTGGGGAAGAGATTACAAGAACTGCTCCTTGGAGATGTGTCAGCCAGGCAGCTTTGAGTGCCCCATCTTCTCCAGAAGCCAAGTCTTGGGCTGTCTTTCATAGAAGCTGCTTCCTAGCCCTTTGTCCCCTGCCCCCATCAGGACATGGAGGCTCCTGCCACTCTCTTGCTCTGCAGGGATGGAGACACCACCTGGTGTCCAACCATGTCGTGTCCAAGCGTTTCATGTCCAGCCATCTCCCACCCCTCGTGCTCATGCTGTGTCCCTCAGCCTGTGCAGCTCCTCTTGCCCACCGTGGAGCTGACAGCAGCCAGACCCCGCAGCCTTGGCCATCTCACCTCAGGGCTCTCCTGGTGCTCTCCCAGAGAATGGATTCCCACTTTGATTGTTCTGCTGGGCACTCTCTTACCACTGCACCTCCTGTCAGAACTCCTTCCATGGACACATGCTGGCTGGCACAGTGACCAGCCTCCAGAGAACCCATGGCTGGCAAATGTGAGCAAATCCAACCTTGTACTGTATTTCATCCTGATTCCTTACAGTTACAGCAGCTCAAAGCAGAAGAAAACACATCTGGAAGCAGATGTACAACTCCAAATAATGTCCAGACCTTGGACTTTGACTCTTCCTATTGGCAGCATCTTCCCCAGCACACCAAGGCCATGCCATGGAGAACACATGTCACAGAGGAGCTTGATGTGGACTTTGGTTCCTCTTCCCTCACTTCTGTGACTCTCCCAGGGCTGTGAGCTGAGTGCCATGGTCTTGGGTGACCACCTTGTGGGCAATGTCCCATGAGACACCAGTCAATGCCAGAAGTCATCCCAGCCCACCTGAGCTTTGGCCTGCAGTGGGACATGGAGCAGAGGTGTCTGCCCAGGAGGTCCATGTCTCCCTCTTCCCAACAGAGGGGTGTTTTCAGGTCTCCAAAGCTGAACATCTTTAGCTCAGCCTATTTATCTTAGTCTTGCATTCAATAGCTGCTCAGAGACCCCTGCCATGAAAATTCTGCCTGATGGAAACGAATGATTCAGACTGAATTCTCATCCTCTGTCTCCCAGGTGGTTTGTGCTTCTAATGTGTCAGCGTGGTCTGGCAGCTTCTATGCTGGGCAGACCTGGATGGACCATGTGGAGCAGCTGGGAGTTTTAGGAATGCCTTGGTGATGATCAGAGCCACTGTATGCGTTGGGCAGAGAGGCTCAGTGAGCTTCAGTCTTCCAAAGAGCTTCAGGGTGGCATCTACCTTCCTGACTCCTGTCCCTTGGATCCCTTGGTGGATCTCGGGATGGACTGTCCAGGGCTGGTGACTCACAGCTTAATCACAGTTTGTGTGCATCCATTCCCTGCAGAATATACTGGCATTGGCCATTTTAACCCCACTGGACAGGGACTGTAGCTCTGGAGGATTTCCAGTATCTGAGTGCAGCAAGAGAGAACAGCTTGACCTGGGCTTGCAGTAACAAACAAATCCACGTGAGGCTCTTTCCTCCTTGGGTCACTTGTGCCTGTCAGTGCCTTGTAAGCACTATCCCAATGGATGAATGCCTGTGCCCACCTCAGGGAGCACCTGGGGGTGCAGTGAGCCCTCCAGTCTCAGGAGAGGGACTCCTCTGCTGTCCTTTGTCATGAGGACAAAACCCTCTGGGCAAGCCCTCTGGGCTCTCTGAAGTGAGTCCTTTTGGTTTCTCCACTGCTGTTTCCTCTCCATGTCCTCACTGAAGATCCTCGTGGCCGCACATGAGCCACTGGCCTCGGAGGGCACTGAGCTACCCGCAGCAGGAATAGGGACATTTTGGACTCAATGGCATCCTGGGAGGGCTGTGGGCTCCTGAGTGAGGTCACATCCACAGGACACCCCAGTTCCTCACTGGGCAGAGTTCCCTGCTGGCTCAGCCCCATCCTCATCCCCTGGCCACCAGTGCCTGTCCAGCCATGCAGTTCACAGCAGTTTGCAATCACTTTGGACCCAGCCTGGCCATCCATGCCCTGCTGTGGACCAGGTGTGGAGCCTGACCCAGAACTGCCCCAGGGGAGCCCATTGCTCAGGACAGGCCATACCCAGTGCCTGGAGGGGGCGGGTGGCCGGTGTGCCCTGCTCACCGCCAGCATCCACAGCTGCCACCTCAACCCCTCTCAGCTCCTTCCCACCGGCTCCCGCCTCCTCCTGCCCGAACACCCACATCAGCCGAGCTGTGGCCACGTGGTGCCCACTCATGTCCCACCTGCCCTTCACTGCTGCTGGTTCTATTTCCTTTCCAGGTTCCTCGGCTCTGCTCTCTGCTGTGCCGTGTTGGGAGACAAGGTGAGTCCAGGAGCGATCTCCACTTCTCCTCCCCAGCAGTGCCGGCTCCTCAGAGTGCGGACACTTCTATTCCCACATCAGTTGTATCCCATGTCCTTAGAGGAAGGTGATTCCCCCATCCCAGGGTGGCAGCATACATCCCAGGGCATGGCTGATTTAAGGGGAGCCACCCCATGGCTGCCAACTCCCCATGGGAACCACCACCCCAAAACCAGGCCCGGAACCAACCTGGCCTTGCAGCCCTCTGTGCCATCACTGTCCTGGGGAGGCAGTGAGGGGTGAGAGTCCCACTGAGGTCCTGGCAGGATCCCGGTGAGGTTTCAGGGCTGGCTGGAGCTGGGAACATCCCTGCCCTCTTTGTGCTCCCCTGGTGAGCAGCGCAGTACAAATATCAGCCGCGTTCTTTGAAATGAAAATAAAACTGATAAAAGTCGGGCAAATCCTCCTGCTGGCCCCCGCTGCCGGCCCGAGCAGTGGCTCTTTCTGCCGCCGAGCCGGCTCCCGCAGTTATCAATACATTATGTATGCCAGTGTCCGTCGGCCAGAGCCTTTTGTTGATGCTGAATATGTCCTGGCCAACAAAAGTGGACTGGATTAGCCACAGTGGATTAAAAGATTTTCTTCTTGGAGTTTACCTAATAATATAACAATTGACATAGAAGGTCTCTTTGAACCCTACACGACTCTCTTATTTTACCATCTGTGAGTTTGCTCTCCGTGCCGCTGATGGGGCGCCCGGCTGCCGGTGGTGCCGGTGGTGGGAACGCCGCCCGGAGCCAAATTTATCGCTGAGCAGAAGAAAGCAGCCCGTGTTTGAAGGGAGGTGGCGGGAAGGGAAAGTGGCACAACTTCTGTCCTCCTGCCTTTGTCCTCGGCCCTTCTGCTGGTGGCTCACCAGGCTGGCGATGCCGCGGTGTGAGGAGAGAAGAGACCCAAGGAGAGGGCTCCAGCGATGGGGAAGCCACTCGCTCATCTGCAATTCGAGGTGTCTGGAGAGGTCCCGGACAGAATAAGCTCCTTTATTAACCATGAATTTTGGGAGAGTTGCCGAACTGTGAGCCAACGGAGTTTGCTCGTCTCGGTTCCAGCCGTTGGGATCTGGCCACTCTCCCTGGTCTCCATTGCAAGATGGGTCAGGCAGCGGCGGCAGCGACACCGGGAAACATGGAGGGCAGCGGCAGCAGGGGAGGAAGGCTCCCCCCAGCATCCTGCGGCGCTGCTGGCCCTCGCCCCCTCCTCCGGCACACCCTGGCGTCCCAGCCTCGGGCTTTGATCTCATCCGGGGGGGCTCCATTCACGAGTCTTTCATCGCAGCCTTTGGAAATATCCGTCCTCAGAAGTCGCCAGTAATGAGATGGGGAGACGATGAGCAATTTAGGCGCCGTTCTTTCTCGCTTGCGTTTTTATCTCCATATCCCCCTCCCTTTTTTTTTCCCCCCTTTTTTCTTT